GTCTACAGGCAATTTTAAATGTAAAGGAAATCTTAAAACCTGTATTTATAACACTATACAAGAATGGAACTAGGAAGCGCAGCCCATTTCCAGTTAGAGAATGGCAAAAGTGAAGGAGCAAAACATTCCCAATGCCAGCTGCAGGGTAAGTGTGGCTCAAGGTGGGCGGGGGCACATCCTGTTAGGTTCTGCTTGCTTTCAAGTTTTTCAAAGACTTATCATCTCAAGAACAGCTGGACTTAGTCTGGGACAATGATGTATTCTTCCTGCTCCCTATAACCTGGGCCTCCTTGTTGTGTGATAGTAGCCCCAATTAGCTTGCATAGGATAAATTCTGCCTAATAATGTAGGACAAGATGTGTAAGTAACTGTAAAATATCCTGTTATTTGCTTCTTGTACTTCCCCTTGAAAACCTGTATAGGTAACTGTTTTACTCCAAGATGGGGCTGGTGACTTGGACCTCAGTGTCCTGTAGCTTGCTAGTGTAATAAAGCTGCATGCCTTCCAAGTTCCTTCAGTACTATGACATCTCTCTGGTCTGATCCCAGGTTCCACAACACTTGTACTTCCCATGTGCACTAGTTAAGTGGCTTGCTTTCCCATTGGATCAATATTTGCCTAAGCAGCTATACTTGCAATCTTTTTTTTTTTTTTTTTTTGGCAGAACTGGGGATTGAACTCAGGCCCTTGCGCCTGCCAGGGAAGCACTTATTCTACTGGGCCATCTCCCCGGCCTATACTTATGATCTTACTGGCCTTGTCCCACCTTATAGAAACTCTGTGATGTGATTCCTTCCCCATTAGACCAATATTACCTAACCAGCTATGCTTGTAATCTTACTGGATGATCATAATTTTGTCCCACCTTATTCCCACCTCATGGTTTCATATTCATCTCTTGGTTTTCCTCTTTAAAACTTCCTTTGAGAAGTGGGCTTGTGGACAATCCACTTTCCTAGTCCCTTTGTCTCTCTTAGATAGAATCTATTTTTTCCTCAATAAATATTTCATATTCTTAACCTCCCTGTTTTGATAGAGGGGGAATATAACTCTCAATCTGCTAGATGTCAAGTAATTCATGTTCTCTAAAATGGAAGAACAAATTCTAGGAACAACAGAAGTTACAAGCAGAATCTATTTATTGGGGAAAGAAAGCTTCTGTTAAAGAGACAGAAAGAGTCCCCAGTGGATGGCCAAAGACACTGCTTTTCAAGGGAATTTTCTAGAGCAAAGCCACAAGATGAGGAGATCTAAGGTGGGAAAAAACTGTAACCAACTAATAAGATTACAAGTATAGTCACTCAAGTAACATTGATCCAATGGGAAATCACAAGGTGGGACAGAACTATGTGTAACACAAATAACCAGCTGAGGGCTGGGCAGATAGCTCAGCTGTCTAAGCACCTGCCTGGCAAGTGCAAGGACCCAGGTACAATCCCCAGTACCACAGGCCATGCCGGCCCCGGAACCCACGCCAGCCACTGAAACTGGGGATGGTGGTGCGACCTGCAATCCCAGTGCTGGGGACACTGGGAGACAGGAGGATCACTATGAGTCCAAGCTGCATGGCAAGACCATGTTCCAAATAAATAAATAAAAGATTAATAACCAGCAGAAACCACCAGGTTTGTGTAAAGACCATATGGCATGAAATTTATTGTGCCTTGGTTCAGGAAGAGAATGACAAAACTGTCTGCCCTGAGCAAAGAGACCTGTGTCCCTTTTATATGGATGGAAAGAAGGCAGGGAACTTTAGATGGGAAAATCCCAAGGGACATCTGTGGTCAAAGATTTTGGGCAATCTTGCATCTCAATGGGCTGAATTCTTGTAAATTTTGGGTTGTTCCCAGATGTCTCCAGGACTGCATCCTTCCTTGTACTGTCTTATGCCCTTCCCTGTGTTTTCCAGTGACAGCCTCAATGTTGAGCTGAGTTCCCTGCAGGGGTAGTACTTGTGCTGGCAAGCAGGCTGGGGGATAGGAGAGTCAGGCTGGGTTGGAGACTTACACTATGGTTGACCAACAAGATTATAAGTATGATCGCTTAGGTAATATTGACGTGTGTGGGTGTTATCCTTCTGTCTTTTGGCCTGAGGTCTGGCCTTTAACTGATGTGCCTCCCCCGTGGTTGCAATGTGTTCTTGTTCTCTGCTCTGACTCGAAGTCCTATCCTTGTCTGACTGCCTGTAATCGTACTACCTAACTTAGCTGTCTGCAATAGTTCCTTAGAATTCATTCTTCAGTTTTGGGGAACATGAACCTGGCACACTGGACATCTTTCAGATTAGTTATATATTTTCCTTACATCATTTGGAGGTCCTTATATCATCCCTATATCAAGAGGATTCTACAATGTTTTCATCAAAATAAGGAATTTAATGAGACAGTGTGTAGTTTTCTCCCTGTTCTCATACTGACTTTGGAGCTCCTTGGATCTGTAGATTTGAGCAACCATAAGTTTAGCTGTTACTTTTGTCTGTATTTCTTCTCTCTCAAGGAAACGCATCACCTGTTTCATAGGTCATGTGACTATCCCATAGGTTACTGCTGTTTTTTCCTCTCTTGGGGAGATTCTGTTTTTCTTGTTTGTATTTTCCCCTCTGTGTTTTACCTTGATTAGTTTCTTTTATTCATAGACCTTCAGGATCACTCACTTATTTACAGTGTCTGATCTTCAATTCATATCTCCTAGGATAGTTGAATAGTTTCCATCTACAATCATTCCACTCAGCTCTCTCTCTCTCTCTGTCTCTCTGTTTCTGTCTCTGTCTCTGTCTCTCTCTCTGTGTCTTTGTCTCTCTCTGTGTCTGTCTCTCTCTGTGTCTTTGTCTCTCTGTGTCTCTGTCTCTGTCTCTGTCTCTCTCTCTCTCTCTCTCTCTCTCTCTTTCTTTCCTTTTTGGCTTTTTGATAGGGCCTCACTGTGTACTTCTGGACTTGAACTCACTGTATAGCCCAAGGTATGCTTCAACTTCTGGCAATCCTCCTGCGTCAGCCTCCTGAGTGCTGGAATTATAGGCAAGTTCAACTATTCCTGGTCAATCCTCTTGTACCCCTGACTTTCCTTCCTGTACTTTTCTAGGTTTACATTCACTACAATATAATTGCCCTTACTTTGGGAATGATTTTTATAGTAGCTGTCCTGAAGCCTTTGTCAGAGAAATCCAATACATCTGTCATGACAAATCATTCATCTTTATTAGGGTAGTAAAGATTTTCTCAATTTTTATATGCCAAAATATTTGGATTTTACCCTGGATGTACAAAGTATTATTTTATGCAGCCCCACACCTGCTTACATTCTATCTGGATGTTTTTATTTTAATAATCTGTCCACTTGAGTTTAGAGCACAGGTTCTAACCTTCCATGAGTAAATAATAACTTTTCTTTCAGTTCAATCTACAAAATCTTTAAAATACTATTTGCATTTATCTTTTATTGGTATCACCTAGAAACTGTTTTTTTTGTTTGTTCCTTAACTATATTTTCAGTTTTCTTGTCTTCTTTAGTATCAGAACTATGTGTGTAAAGTTTAGAGGTGAATTCATAAATACATAAGAAAATCAAGGAAGGATTTTGCATTTCCAGCCTCATCCCTCTCCACAATTTCTCTAGTTCTTCCTGGTATCTGCTATTCTTTTTGTTTCCTCTGGTAAAGAGAACTGAGCCATTTATAACTGTGCACATTTTTTTCTTAATACATGTGTTCAGGATAAGTACAGGAAGACAGAGGAGCAAAGCCAAGCAGTTCGTGCTCTCCTCTTGGAGAGATAGATCTATAATAAAAACATTAGTTCCTTCCAGTCTCCACTGTGGCTGCTGTCAATTTGAGAGAATGTCCTGGAGGCTGGGATATTTTAAAATGGACAGCAGAAAGAAACAAAGGGAAAAGAAAATATGTCTACACCAACCTACTCTGAGGAGTTGGAGGAGTCACTTTTCTGTGATGCAACCCTGAACCAGGGTTGTCTTGCCTCATATGTGGCCCAGTTCACTTCCAGGACCACCTGAAGTCCAGGCCAGAAGAGAACAGAGAACAAAGAGAAACTAATCACTGGATCAGTGATCCTTTAGTGTGCCTCTCTCTACTCTTTCTTCATATGACTTACATTTTAAGGCTTATGAACAGCTGCTCCATGCATTCTGGTCTGACATTTCTTTTTTATCTTCATTGGGTGAGATAGGAGACAGTGTGGGCTTACTGTATTTTATCTAGAGGCAGCCAGAGGACAAAGGAGTAGGGTACTAGAGAGGATTAGAAGGAACCAGTTAGCCTGTCCTGAGTTGAAGGGAAAGAAGGAAGAAGGGGTGAGGAGCATAGCAGGGATGGCCAGCTCCCATTCACTTCCTTCCCTGATGTTTGGGGTCTTCCATGTGATGCCACCATGGGTCAGTGATGGCTTGATTTTGGGAGGGTGTCTGCTGTGGTTTGCTTACTCTGTAGAATGCTCCAGAATTTTATGCTCTGGATTCCCTCATGAGGAGGACACACATCCTTTGTGTTTCAAATATGTGGCATTGAAAAAAAAATTTAATGCCAATAAATGGGCACAGTGCTCAGTTGTCGCCTGACTGAAGTTGCTGTAGAAACCTGATGATAAAAGTGAAACAAAACCCATGCTGAGGGCCTGAGGCATCTGAAGAGAAGTCTCTAGCTCTTCCTGGGAAAGGAGTATGCTTCATGACATTCCTTTATGGCTTCCCCACAGCTAGGGAAAGGGAAGCCTTTGGATATCATGTACTAGAACCATTATGAATGCCACAGATGGAAGGATAAAGACATCTCTGGTCTGGCTCCTTTTGAATCCACTATCATGGATTCATTGTGCCTTTACTCAGAAAGTTCAAAGAAGTTTTACTAATTCAGTCAACCACTGCTGCCCAGAGAGGTGGAAAGATCTAGAGAACAGAGCAAGTCTCAGTAGGATGAAGAGGGGCAGGTGCAGGAAACAGATTTGCATGGAAGTCCCTCCCTCCTCTAAGGCAGGGGAGGGAGATAAGAGAGTCCTGGAGGATCCAGGCCAACTGCTGAGGTGTCAGGAGGCTGGGCTTCAGGAGTGTCTCCATGATGGCCTACACTCTGCTTCTCTTCACCCTCCTCACTCAAGTCAAAGGTGAGGCCCCCGAAAAGGGACCACAGGGACCACTGAGTTGATGCTTTGTCTCTTCTTCCTCCTCAGGGTCACCGAGCCCAGCACTGACTCACTAGATGTGTTCCTTCTTGTTTCAGAGTCCTGGGCCCAGTCTTCTCTGACTCAGCGTCCCTCAGTCTCTGGGTCTCCTGGAGAGAGGGTCACCATCTCCTGTGATGGAACCAGCAGTAACATTGGGAGTTATAGTGGTATCTCCTGGTACCAAAAGCATCCAGGAGCGCTCCACAAACTCCTGATTTATGACACCAGTAGTCGGCCTTCAGGGGTCCCTGATCGCTTTTCGGGCTCCAAGTCTGGCAACACAGCCTCCCTGAGCATCTCTGGACTTCGGCCTGAGGATGAGGCTGACTATTACTGTTGCTCCTATGCAGGCAGCAACACTTCACAGTGGTCCAAGTTCATGGGGAAGTGAGACCAAAACCTGCACTGAGCTTACTGGTCCCTTCTTATTGTAAAGATGTGTGCTCAGCCTGGTGCTGAGAGGGTGCACGCCACATAAACTTGAAACTCACTTCTCTCTTAGGCCTGCTGTGTCTTAGAATGATTTCTAAAGGAAGTACTACTTCCCCTTTATTGGCTCTTCAGAATGTGGCTCTCTCACTGTTTGTTTGATTTCATGTGCTATATTATCATCAACTCTTCAACAGCAGGTTTATAGAAAATGGAGTAGCTCTCAGGAAAATCCTCACCTCTCGCTGCCTCCATCACCCACACTTCAGACTTCCTGTGTTTAATTCTGTAGATATTATGTGTTTCTACTGGATTCTGTATCCTCCATAGCTAAGTCACCATCTTTACTGGGTTGTTCGTGAGCATGACTGCTGGTGAAATAACACAACAGAGAAATTCACTGAGCATTGCTGAGGGGAGGAGCACAAAGGAGAGAATACTCTATTTCTTACAGAATCCCAGTTTTTATCTATATCTCCAAGGAAACTGAGCTGAGGAGAACTTGAGCTGAGACTCTGTACTTTGTCAGAATTGTCCCTCCCATCAGATTTTTTTTTTTTTTGAGATAGGGTCTCCCTAAGTTGTTCAGGCTGCTTTGAGCAGACTTGGTAGACCAGGCTGGCATCAATCTCACAATGATCTTCCTACCTCAGCTTTGTGCTGTGATTACAAGCATGCACCAGCATGCCTTGCTCCATCAGATCTTTGAACTTTGGTCTGGGAAGTGCCATGCAGGTAGACTTTCTCTGTATTAGGATGTGCTATTGTTCCAGAAAGGAGAGATCTCTGATATGGCATGTGCACCCCTTCTTGGAGGTGAGTCCCCAACATTATCTGGTTTTCTAAGATGAGACACTCCAATTTCCACTTGAAATCTTAGTCATAACAGTTGACAAAGTTCATGTATACATGCATATCTAACCAAGAATTCTCTCAACATCCAACATCCAGTCGAACACAGCATCATTTCCCAGATGACCAACTCTTCCTTGTTTGCCAGAATTTCCCAGTTTTAGCACCAAATGTTCTCTGCCTTGGCAGCTGTCTCATTCCTGGACAAATCAGTGTGGAAGATACTTTACCTGAGAGCCCAGGCTTTCTGTTTAATTTTTAACACACACACACACACACACACACACACACACACACACACACATCATCATCATCATCATCATCATCATCATCATCATCATCATCATCATCATCATGATCGTCATCGTCATGGTCATCAGCATCATCTCTTCCCCTTTACCTTTTTCCTTCCCAATGGAAGTTTGTAGCTTTACTCGTTAGTCCTCCAGGCAGGGACAGAAACAAACCTTGAGCTCTAAGCAAATGATTCTCAGAAACAGTGGGTAGGAGCCCTGGGACAGGAGACCTAGAATACTGCCCTGAGTTCTGGCTTTGTCTATGTAAAGCCGGTCAGAAGCTGTACTAGAGAGTGGAGAAGGTGCTTTTGTGGTATCCTATCTGGCATCTGAGATGAGATTTAATCCCACCTATAGTATCATCAGCGGGACTCTAGAATCATTATCTACACATGCGGAGGAGGGCAGGCATCACCAATGCACGTTCTAGTGTTTATCCTCTAAGACAGGTGGACCAAAAGTTCCTCATAAGAATGTGTTGAGTAATTTTGTAGTAAGGAGTATTATACAGAATAACTACAAGTTTAGAGAATATGATTTTGCAAATATGAAACAATGTGTTTATATGCTGTGTCTCTCTACGTCTGCACATGTCTGTGTAAAGAGATACAAGGGAAGAGATGGACACATTGACAGGGACAGAGAGTCAGAGCTGCAGAGAGAGAAGCTTACGGAAAACTAGAAAAGAGAGTCACATCCCTGAATGATAATAGGAGAAAATAAAAAAGGACTAAGGCATATATTAAGACAGCATGCAGGTGTTGGTGGCACATGCCTAAAACCCCAGAAGTCTGGGAGACTGAGGCAGGCAGATTAGAAGGTGGAGCGTGACCTTAGTGAATTAGCAAGACTGTTTCAAAATCCCATTTTTGAATTGGATCTTTACATTTTAGGGACCTAATTTTTTTTTTGTTGTTGTTCTTTATATATTCTAGACAGAATATGGACTGTTTGAGTGATTGTTGGTTAAGATTTTTTTACAATTTGTAGGTTGTCTTTTCTCTCTGTTGGTGATTTTCTTTGACATGCAGAAACTTCTCAATAAGATGATATCCTAATTGTTGAGTCTTTGCAGTATTTCCCATACAGCTTGGAATTTTTTTTTAAATAAACTATCTGCCTACCTTATGACTTCAAGATTTCCACCTACATTATCTTCCAGGAGATTTAGTGTTTCTGTTTTAGTGTTTAGATCTTTAATCCATTTTGACTTTAGTTTAGTGGATGGCAATAGACCCAGGTCTAGTTTTAGTTTTCAGCTAAAAGGGTGGAGTGCTAGCTTTTCCAGCACCACTTGCTAAAGAGGCTATCTTTCTTTCAGTGAACATACTTGGTGCCTTTGTCAAAGATAAGATGGATGAGTGTGTTTGTAGTTGTGTCTGCATTCTCTAATCAGCACCAGTGATCCTCAGGTCTATTGTTTTTTTTTTTTTTTTGCCAGTGCCATGCTGATTTTATCACAGTAGTTTTGTAGTATATTTTCAAGTCAGGGATTGTAATGCCTCCTGCCAAGACTACCTTTGATATTCTAGGACTTTTCTAGGTCCAAATAAGTTTTAAGAATGAATTCTGTAGCTCTGTGAGGTATGTTGGTGGCATTTTGATAGAGATTGTATTAAATCTGTATAAAAAAATTGGGAGTATGGTCATTTTCACAATGTTAGTTCTTCCTGTCCAGGAGCAAGGAATATCTTTGTTTTCTGAAATTCTCTTGAATTTCCTTTTTTCAGATTATTGTAATTTTCATTCTATAGATCTTTTATTTCCTTTGTTAGGTTAATTCCTAAGTATTTCTTTTTTGGGATGCTACTGTGAAGGGCCCTGTGGTTCTAATTTCTTAGATAAATTATTATCTGTGTAGGGCAATGCTATTGATTTTTAGTTATTGATTTTGTAACCTGCTATGCTACTGAATTTATTTATTAATTCTAGGAGCTTCTTGGTGGAGTTTTGTGGGTCTTCTAAGTAGAGTATCATGTCATATCAAACAGTGATAGATTAACTTCTTGTTTACTTATTCTTACTCCTTTAATTTTTCTCTCTTCTCTCATGGCTCTAGTTAATGATTCAAGAACTATAATGAATAGAAGTGGTGATAGAGGACATCCTTATCTTGTACATAATTTGAGAGTAAAAACTTTCAATTTTCCTCCATTTAGAAGTATGCTGGCTGTTGGACTGTCATAGATGGTTTTTAGATTAGCAATTCTAACCAGATTATGGTGTAGGCCATCTGTTCCAATTTTCTGTATGGCTTTGACCATGAACGAGTGTTGGACTTTGTCAAACTCTTTTCTGCATCAATTGAGATGATCACTTGCTTTTTTGTTTTGAATCTTTTAATATGGTGTATCACATTTATAGCTTTGCACATGTTGAACCATTCTTGCATCCCTGGGATGAATCTTACCTGGTCATATTATTATTATTTTGTATTTTAGGGGAGGGTCTACAGGGAGTTCAGGGTCTCATTTCTAGATCGGACTCATAGTGATCTGCCTGTTTACAGCCTCCCAAGAGCTGGGATTACAGGCACGCACCACCATGCCCAGTTTCAATTGCCATCTCAGTGCACTCAGGGGGCAAGGCTGGCACGGCAGGCCTGGGAATTAACCCCCAACCCCTGCGTCTGCCCAAGCAGGCACTTTAATCCGCTTAGCTATTTGGCTGGCCCTCCACTTCAACTTTAAATAGGGAGAGTATCAAGAAAATTTCAAACGTATTTAAAACAGCCATGTGTAGGGCCAGCCAGATAGCTCAGTGGATTAAAATGCCTGCTTAGTGGGGGCCTGGCCTTAGCTCAGTTGTTTAAGTGGCTGCTTCCACAAAGCTGTCAGCCTCAGGTTGCTGTAGTTCAATCCCCACAACACTCCAGCCAGCCAAACCACCCCTTAGGGCATTTAGAGAAAAAAAAAAAAAAAAACAAAACCTTAAAATGCCTGCTTAGGCAGACACAGGGGCTGGGGGTTCGATCCCTGAGCCTGCTGTACCACTCCTGCCCTCAGGATGCCCTGAGACGGCAATGGAGACCGGGCATGGTGGCATGCGCCTGTAGTCCCAGCGCTTGAGGCTGAAAACAGGAGGATCACTACAAGTCCGATCTACATAGTGAGACCCTGTACACCCTATACACCCTATCCTAAATTCATAGATAAATTAATTAATTAATTAATAAAATAGCCATGTGCATATGCTCCTCTCAAAGTAAGTTGTTTCTCAACTGTGACAGGATAACTTTCTTTAAAACCTATCAGTGGTTGAAAACGTTAAATCAAAAATGCTTTCAATACCACGGTACAGTGAACATTATAATTTAGCCCACCCTATTTTATTTTTATTTTTTATTTTTTTTGGTGGAACCTGGGATTGAACTCAGGCCCTTGCGCTTGCCAGGGAAGCACTTATTCCACTGAGCCATCTCCCCAGCCCCCAGCCCACCCTATTTTAAAAGTGCTCAGAATACTTTTGTCAATGTACCATTGGGCAAACTCCTCTAGCACAAAACTTATAGTGAAGTATAGAATATCTCATGTAATTTTTGGACTATTATGCTGAAAGTAGAAAGCAGAATAACTATAGTAGTCTATTATCCCACCATTGTATATTCAAAAATTGTGAAGTGGAATCATTGTAAATGAGAGACAGTCTGCGCTCTATAGAAATGCACAATATGGGAGCTTCTCACTTGGAGCATGGCCAGCGTCAGCAAACTTAGATTCTGCTCCTTCCTTAGACATTATATGCTGCTTTACAAGTGAGCACAAGCAGAGAAACACAGAACAG